AGCAGTTGAAATATAACCTGTACGAGAATAATCCATTGCACGGGAATTTCCCCAACAGGGGATGCGATGACTGGTGACTTATCTGAAGGATGCTACTACCTTCTTTGAAGCTTTTGGCGTGTCCCAGAATCTCAGGCTGGTTTAGGAGTTTCTCTTTCAAGGAATACATTATTTCCAGATGGTCACCCATTTCGACTGAGGCAGTTGAGATAGATACTCGTTCCTCGGCAGAAAACGAAGATGCGGTGCTGACCTATCCTTCCAAAATAATGGACACGAATAAAAGGTTTATCCGTCCTCTCTAAAAGTTATTCTAAGTGCATTCAGATTACCTCGAGCATCAGCGTTTTATTTCATGCCAGGGAGCATTTTGCTTTTTTGACCGTGGAAATTAATGCATCACTAGGCTCAAGAAGCTGTAGTTGGAAAATGTCTTTTAGAGAAAATCTCCCTATTTTCTCTCCGTGCTGAGTTGCCGGCAGAGGGTTCAGTGGAATTCAGGGTCTCTGTGGAGGTGCTCTCCTCCTAGGTGAGTTCTCAGTCCTCCAGGTAATGAGAGGGTTTGGCCCGTTTAAAGGCCATCAGGCATTACGAGTTGCATGCTTGGTACCAAAGGCTCCTGCTGTGTGTGCAAATCGCTGGTGGGAACAGTTGGGGGTCACTGCGTTCTCTCCACGGCCTGACTGGAGAGGAGAGGGTTCCCATCCTACATTAGATACTGTTTCGGAGTCTAGTCTATGTACTTCTAGACATTTCCGCTTCCTCTTTTGTCTCACTCCAAATGCTGTGGTTCTCAGTCTGGGCGATTTTGCCCCCCGGGGACATTTGGCAACGTCTGGAGAAAGTTTTCATTGTCAGCCAGTGACTGGGTGCTCCTGGCATCTAGTGGGTAGAGAGAGGCGGGGGGGGGGAAGCAAACAGCCTGCGATGCACAGGACAGTCGCACGCAACGAAGAATGACCTGGAAGAATGTCGGACTGACGCAGTGCCCACCCGCACTCAGGTTTCAGAGCTTTGCTGCTGCTCCCCGGGCCTGCGCGCCGCGTTTGCTTCTGTGCATGGCCCAGAATTTCCGTCCTAGGAATCTCAGTTTCTGCCCTCAGTTCTCTCCTGAAAGTTCTTTCCCCTTAGGTGCTGGTACTTCCCAGGAGCGCTTTTTAATACAATGTTTTTCCCTCTTGAACTTAATTCCTTTTATTCTCTGGGATCCATTTTTCTAGCTCAGTAATGAAAACAAATCCTTACTTGCAGTTTATTATCACAAAGTGGGTGATCTTTTTCATGTCATTTGACCTCTCTTTGCTGCCCTAGTTTTCTCATCTGAAATATTCAGGTAATAATACCGTCTCATACAGTTGTTAGAATATCAAAGGAGTATTACATATTAGTAACACTATTAATCGTATATTAGTAATACATAGATTGGTAAGCATATGAATATACACAAAGTGCTCAAAACAGAGCCATATAGTGGGTAACATGTTCTCTCTCCATTGTAGAATTTCCTACCACGCTCAACACTTTTCTCTTGACGTCTATAAAATATGAAATGCACTCTAAGCCCTTCATGTTGGACCAATGCTTTGTTTATTTAATTTCTTTTAGCACATGAATCTGCCAACGTTTGAAACACTAGTACTAAAGGGCAATTTAAAAAGTCGTCAAAACCATAATTGTGAACCTTGATTTTCAGTTTGGTCTCTCACCTCTTCTCACTTTTCCATCTGGTCTCCCTGGACCCTGGACTCTGTTAGGGCTTGATGTAGGTTGAACTTCATGGTACTCGGGTGTTTGTGCTGCATTCATTTACACGTAGGCTGAGACCAGGAAATCCACCTTGAGCTAAATTGAACAGGAGGAAGGCCTGAAATTCTCAGGTTTCCACCATTACCCCCCGGGGGCTGGTGTACAGCTAAGAATGCAGACCTTATGGTCTTAGAATTTCTATCGTAGAGGAATTGGGGTGATAATTCAGTCATCATCATCTGTATCTGGCATAAAATCCCCAGTTTATAGAAGTGGAAGCTGAGACTTAGAAGCTAACATTTTAAAGAACTAAATAACCGCAGAGCTAGAACAAGAGAGCAGGGCTACGTGGTCTTTGAATGCTCGTCGCTAACCTGCCTCCCTTCTCACCACCTCATTTTTCTCTATATGCTTTTGTTTCTCTCTTAATAGCATTATGCGTCTTTGTTAACCTGTTCTTCCTACTGTGAATTTAAGATACTGACCCCTTGGTCAGGGCCCTTGGGAGGGCATCTGGGTGGCTCAGTCGGTTGAGCGTCTGACACTTGATTTCAGCTCAAGTCATGATCTAGTAGTTCGTGGTATTGAGCCCTGAGTCAGGCTCTGTGCGGACAGTGTGGTGCCTGCTTGGGATTATCTCTCTCTCCCTCTCTCCCTCCCTCCCCCCACTCTCTCTCTCCCTCCCTCTCCCTCCCTCTGTCCTTCTCCCTCTCTCTCTCTCCCTCTCCCCCTTCCTCCGTCCCTCCCTCCCCCTCTCCCTCCCCTCCCCCTCCCCTGTCTCATGTACTCTCTCAAAATAAATAAGCATTAAAAATAAATACATATACAAAATACTGACCACTTGGGACCAAATTTTAATGTGTCGCTCTTTTTATCAGTGTCCCTATATTAATATGACCAGAACCAGTGTTCTCCGTCTCAAGTAAATGATAACACCATTTGCCTAGGTGCTCAGGCAGAAACCTGAAATCACCCTTGATTCTTCATGTTCTTTCCCACCCCGTAGTCACATCCTAAATCCTGTCATGTACACCTTCAAAATAGGTGCCAACCCCTATCATTTCATTCCACCTCCAACATCACCGCTCTGGCCTGCAATGTCCAATAGAACTTTCTGGACAGTAGTGATGTTCTGTATTCCCTTCTGTCCAACAGAGTAGTCACTAGCCACCTGCGCCCGTTAGGCATTTGAAATGTAGTAAAGTGTGTCTGGAGAACTGAATTATTGTTAATAACTGCTTTATTAGTACATAATTTACATGCCCTACAATGTACCCAAATTCTATGGTGTTTAATATATTCAAATAGTTGTGCAATTGTCACCTTAAGCAATGTTTGAGCATTTTAACCTCGCCCAAAAGAAACTCCATACCTATGAGCAGTTACACCTCATTTACCCTCCCCCCCAAAACCCACCTCCTGTCAATCAATAATCTACTTTCTGTCCCTGTAGACTGGTCTATTCCGAACAGCTCAGGAAGTAGAATCCTACAATAGATGGCCTTTTGTGACTGGCTTCTTTCAGTTAGCACCAGATTTTCAAGGTTTACCCATGTTATAGCACATCTCAGTATTTTATTCCTATTTATTGCCCAGTAATGGAATAGTAGGTGTTTTGAACTCTTTTTCTTCCTTCCCTTTTAATGAAATTCTGCCTAAGAGTCCAGTCTCTCTCCTGAGCTTTGAGATCATTCCCTTGTAAGTCAGTAGCCATCTCTCTGTGCTCCCCGTGGATAACTCTTACGTTCCCTGACAGCCGTCCCTTAATTTAGGCATATGGCTAATGCTGCCCGTTACGTCACTTTGCGAGCCATCTTCCCTTATATCCACAAATTTACCTATCTAGAGTCAGGAGAAAGGCGATGCCTGGGAGCTTGATCCCCACCCACAAGCCCCAGAGTCTGCCTATGATGCTACTCGACCATTTTAGTGTTTTAGAAAACTGAACGGATGTTGAATCTTTCATGAGAGTCAGATTCCTCAAAGCAGATGTGTAAATCAGCAAGCCAAAATACTTGTGTACAGCAGCTCTTGGGTTGGAAATTTGAATACAAAAAATCCCTGTATACTCAGTGTGTAGGCCACAGATCTAAATTTGAGTATAAAAGGAGATTGGCAGTGTCATCCAGAGAAACCATTCCTGATGCTGAAACAGGCTTCACCCCCTCAGGATAGTAACCAGACTTCCCACAGCTGGCAAGTTAGACAATTCTGTCAGAGTTCAGCCTCAGTGATCGTTTTATCCATTGTAATAGTCATCCCTAAAAAGAAAAAAAGTAGAAAAGATTTTTTAAAACTTGAAGCTTCAACACCCTCATATTTTCTAAATGTCTCTCGTTGGATTGTTCACATTCCTCCAATTTTTATTTATTTATTTTTTTTTTAAATTTTTTTTTTTTTTTTTTTTTTTTTTTTTTTTTTTTTTTTTTTTTTNCTGGAGACGGGATGACTTCCTTGTTGAACTGAGTACACTGCCGGGTATGGGAGGAAGAGACCATTCTTATCTTTTTTTTTTTTTTATTTAAATTTTTATTTATTTCTAGGAGAGAGAAAGATAGATAGCGTGAACAGGGGAGGGTCAGAGAGAGAGGGAGACACAGACTCTGAAACAGACTCCAGGCTCTGAGCTGGCAGTCAGCACAGAGCCCGATGCGGGGCTCGAACCTACGATCCGCGAGATCATGACCTAAGCGAAAGTCGGACGCCCAACCGACTAAGCCACCCAGGCACCCCAACATTCCTCCAATTTTTAGACGTCACGTGGTTGCATATGAGAACATGAGTAGTGACTTCTCTGAGGTCCGTGATCATGAATTGATCTCTATTCATGGAGTTATCTTTATTGGCCTATAATTCCAATTTAGCAGAAATGAAAATTGAAGAGTAAGGGAACACTCAGAAAGAGTCTAATACTGGCATTAAAAAAAGATAGATAATGACCTCCTTACTCTTTCCTTTGTTTAACCCAACAAGGGGAGATCTTAATCTTTACAAAAATGTAAATTTCAGTGCAGTTTCAGGTGTTTGGTTCAATATGTTGGAAACGTGATTTTCTTTGTTTGCTTCGTTTGAAGAAGACACAAGATGAAAAAACTCACAGTTAGAAATAGGAGGCATTAGAATCACAGATGATGCAATTTTTGAAAATCCCTTACAATTTAATAAATGTTTCCAAAGTTCATTTTTATGTTCTGACCAAAACAGATTGCAGTGCTCTTCCCCAGAAGTTAGTAATAACTTTCTTTGTTTTTCAGATACTCCATTGGCCAGTGGCCAGGCCACAGACTATTTATTTGTTGGAAATATTGTTTACACGGTAAGTTTATCTCTGTTTACGGAACTGTTCATAAGTGGCACATGTGTGGGCTCTGCCTCTGAAAAACCTTTATATAAGGCCTTTCTTTATATTATTTGTTTCAAATCCTTAAACAGTATAGTATAGATTCCTTGAGGTTCAAAATGGTTGTGAAATGCTTACCTACTTTTTTAGTGGAGATTTGACAGAGTCGAGATTTCTGGACAGGTTACGCCTTTCTTCAAATGACAGTTTCACATCTGTCTGTGAAAAGGGCAACACAGAAAGGTGATTTTCCCCCAAATCTTCCCAAGTTAAGAAAAGCACAAAAGTAACTCCAGCTGCCTCTGGAGAGGAGACTTGTGATTCTCCTGGGAAATAAAAGTAAGTCACCGAGGATAATATGTTTTCCCCACTTCCTCTGTCTTCACAGTATGTTGTTGTCACTGTCTGCCTGAAAGCTGGTTTGGAGACCACAGCTTGGACTAAAGTAAGTTTTCTCTGGAATTGTTTCTCTATCTTTATAGGGTTTGTGTGTGTGTGTGTGTGTGTGTGTGTGTGTGTGTGTTTTATGGCGTGGAATCTCTTTAAGCCTTGGGAAAACAATCAGCAGTATCTAGCTATCTTATTTAAATTTTCCATGTAAAAATTGCCATTTGATCTTTATCAGGGCAAATTTGCAATCCAGAGTTTTCTGATGATTCACTTGCTTGGCACTTACTAACATCTCTAAGCTCTTAACGGTTTTCTCGGGGCACCTGGGTGGCTCAGTCAGTTAAGCATCCGACTTTGGCTCAGGTCACTATCTCACAGTTCGTGGGTTCGAGCCCTGTGTCGGCCTCTGTGCTAACAGCTCAGAGCCTGGAGCCTGTCTTCGGATTCTGTGTGTGTCTCTCTCTCTGACCCTCCCCTGCTCATGCTGTCTCTATCTCTCTCTCAAAAATAAATAAAACATTAAAAAATTTAAAAAAAAAAACAGTTTTGTCATTTCAAGTGCATAGGCATGTTGTTAAAACAAAACAAAACAAATACAGAAAATACAGAAGGACAAAAAGGAGAATTTTTAATTTCCTTAACTTGACCACCAAGAGACAGTTACTCTTAATACTTTGCTGGACAACATTACAGACTTTGTTCTGTGTGTATTTTTAATAAGAGAATGCATTACAGAGCACGTAGGTTTGTGGTCTTTTTTCAGTGAGGAATATATCATGAACATTTTCCATACCTAAAAGTATACTTTCATAAAACCTTTGTTCATGATGAAAGACTATTAAGTTTTATCCAGTTCCAACATTTAATCATTCCCAAACTTCAGACGTTTTACTGATTTGCCACATTTCAGGATGATAACTCGTGTTTTGTGTTTGTCTATCACTGCTGTTTAAATGGGCTCTACTTGTATCTGGGAAAATGAAGGAGGAGGTTGGAAATGAATGTGGAAGCAGGGAATCCATTAAGAGACACGGGCAATTCATCCAGATGAGAGGTGATGGTGGCTTGGCCTGGGATGTTACAGGAGGAGGTAGTGAGAAATGGTCAGATTCCAGATGTAGTTTTTAAAAAAGCTAGCAGACCTTGATGATGGATTCTGTCATGGAGTGTGGAAGAAAGGAAGACGTCAAGCATCATCACATTAAGAGGACAAAGGAGAAAAAGCTGGCAACTCATTAGGTGCTTAAAGGATTGTTAAGATGTCCTATCCATCCCAGATTTGTAAAAAGTTCTTTGGAAAATGGAGAGAACAACCAAAGTCTCAATAAGTAAGAACAGCTTGTTCTTTTTCTCTGTTCAGTGCTTTCTTACTGATTAACAAGGCCTGGCTTTATGTAGCTCCACGTTGGAGCAAACGCTGCTGAGGCCCAGTGAAAGGCCTGCTAACAGTATGGGATGGGTCTAGAAGGTCATCTGAGGCAGCAAAAGCACCTTGATCTCCAGGGTAATTTGGGGCCACCAGTTACTTGAATTCACCATTAAACATTCTGAGACCAGATCATCAGAAGGTGGAATCTTCCAGTGACTAGTGATAGGCCAAATGTTCCCATAAAGAAAGGTGGCTTGGACACAGGGACCCTGCTGCAGGTGGGGTTCAGGTGGCTCCCCTGTGCCAGCGGACGAGCCCTGCCTGAGCGTGTGTTTCCTTTTGCAGTTCAGTCACCTGGCTGTCTGGGGAAGCATGCTGATCTGGCTGGTGTTCTTTGGCGTCTACTCCACCATTTGGCCCACCATCCCCATTGCTCCAGATATGAAAGGACAGGTCAGTGCTACTAATTGGGAATGGGCTTTCCATGTCCAGCGACGATGGTGCTATCCATGCACGGGCTTCTCATGTCTCATGACACCCAGGAACTTCAGGAGAGGTTGGTATTGCCTGCTTCCGTAAAATTCACCAGGAAGGAAATAAGCCAGATCAGAGCACCTGGAAGATGTGGTCTCATCCACACGAATGGCATTTGAAATTTTAACTACTATAAGTAGTCAGCCTAAATCCTCTGACCTACCCGGCACGTCCTTATTTCCATAATGGGTTGTGTGTTGATTATGCACGGTTGTGATGCGTACAGGTAGTTTTTGGCCCTTGGAAAACTGGAGATGTTTTGAGTCGGTCACAGTCTAATGATTATGTTGATGGTAGTTTTGAGGTTAAGTGTATTGTTATCCTCTGACTGGTCATTAGTCTCCTCTGAAAGATAAATCTACAATTCTAGGAACCAGATCATTAATTAGCCAGAATATCTTACACTCCAGGCCAACCCTATAGACCCCCATTTTGGGGTCTGCCCATAGCCACGCTGCCTGGAGACCCCCGGCAAGTGGCTGTCCCCAGGCCCCATGCTTTGGAGGCCTCTGTGCTGGGTGTCCCTGGCCAGGTAGGTTCCTCTTCCCAGGGTGAGGAGCCCATGGTACACAGAGCCAGAACCCCTCCTTCTAGTCCCTTCCCTGGGTTCCTAGGATCCTGAGCTTCCTTCCCAAACAACCACAAAAGCCTCCTTCCCAGGCCTGCCTGGTCCTCTTCCCAGATCCAGGCCTGTGTGAACACCCCTGGCCCCAAGGGGCAACTGATTGTGAGGTACGTGCACTGACTCAGTTGGGTGTTTGCATCTCTATACCCGCCCCCGTCCTTATACCCACCCCCGTGTGCACGAGGCAGGGGCCGGGAAGAGGAGGGCTGTGGGTCAGGGGTTTCCACTCGTGTTCCTGCGCCAGGAGTACATATTTTAGGGGCAGGCCTGTGCGTGCCACAGCGGCTACTGTCTCAGCCTCACTTACTCTGCACAAATAGGCCATCACGCCTGGGTCTACCCAACTCGAAATAACTGTGCATGTGAGGTAACCCAGATGTGACACGAATTGTCTTTTTCACTTGGCGAATCTGTAGTTGACGTCCCAGCGAGCCCCGGGCCTCCCGTGAGTGTGGGTGCTGAGCAGGGCGGGTGCGTTCTGCAGGGGGAGGCGTGTATGTCTCCTCAGGACGTGAGGACCAGCACGTAACACGCTTTTCAGCTCTTTTCCAAACGCAAGTGACAGAGGAAATTTCAGCGCCTTGAGTGAATCAGGAAGACTGTGTAGCACGACAGGTGTCTCCCAGCAAAGATACTTCGTACATCTAAAGAAATCAGTTCTGTTTTAAAGCAGCCGGGCCCATCCCCAAAACAAACCGACAAGTGGCTAGAATATCTGCTCCGTGTTCTCTGACTTCTGGCCAAGGGCAGGCATGGTCTCATGAGTGTTTCTGTCGGGGAATTTTATGGTGCGGGAAAAACTGATTGCTGAGGAGACTTCCTTATGTCAGAAGACCGGGGCGGCTGGCAGAATGAAATCAGCCCACGTGCGGCCGGCCAGCAAAACCTGTTAGTTTGGAAGCCTCTCGAGGCGTCCTCACCAGAGGACCGCAGGGCTCCAGCAGGCCCTGCTGTGTGCGTTTGTCACGGCAACTCCAGCTCCCACTCCGATCACGAGGTTACTTTCCACGTGCAGAGAGGCCACGTTTGCCGGGCAGACACGAACACGCCACATTTTTGCTATCTGAGTGCTTGGCGGGCTGTGTGGTGCGACAGCTCAACCGACATTTCTGTCACTGGGGATTTTTCGAACGCATTTGACCAGGCAGTCCTACAGCCCTAAAGCAAAGAAACTGGTATCAAACCGCAGTTCACGGTGGCATGCACATTGTTTTATTATTATTTTTTTTTTACGTTTTCCCCGTCATTCTAACTTTTTTTTGGTTGGTTTGGGCGAGGCAAATGGTGTCTTCAGATTGACCATGGCTGGCTGGGCCTGAGGCTCTCATTAGCCATTGAATGAGCATTTTCACATCGCAGGACTTCTGAGTCGGCACTCTGCTGTCTGTGTTTAAAAAGCTGTTTATTATCACTAGTCTTCATCTGAGGGAGACTAGTGGAGACAGGGTGTCAGAGAACAATGTCAAGGACAACCTACCACTCTTTCACTTGATATCTGCTGCCCAGGGGTTTGTCCATTCTTTGAACACTTTTGAAGAATCCCCTGCATGGAGAGTGGCCAAAACTAGCCTGAGGCGTCCCCAAGACCTCCCGCTGACTCCAAAGGGATTACAGGCTATCGTAAAGAAAGATGTGAGCCAGGCTCAGGTACGGGTAGAAATGGGGCTCTCCGGGGCTACTAGTGAAAGCATGCCGAAGCCACGGTCATCCCTTTGGCTCTAGGTTGGTATTAAGGACTCAGTGTTTGTATCCCTAACCTCAGATTCATGTGTTGAAGCCCTAACCCCCTGTGTGATGGTAGTTGAAGGTAGGACCTTTGGGAAGTTACCAGGTCATCAGGGGGATTAGTGCCCTTATAAGAAGGGACCAGAGAGCTAGCTTACATGGTTGCTGCCATGTTGAAGATGTGATGAAAAGTTAGATGTTGGCACGGGAAAGACCGTGCCAGCACCCTGATCTCAGATGTCCAGCCTCCAGAACCAGGAGAAATAAATGTCCATGGCTACTAAGCCCCCTTGTCTATGGTACATCGTCGTAGGAGCCTGAGCTAACACAGCTGGTGAGTACTTAGGAAGTGAGGGGTACTCAGGGAGAAGACCGTTGTTGACATCGTTGTTATTATCATTATTATTACTATTAGATGTTTCTAGTGTTTTATGGAAACTATTTTTTGCAGTTCCCAGAGCGGTGGGATTTTGGCAAATGAACACGGTTCTTTTGAGCTCGGGAATTAAACTAGTGTCTAATGGCAAACGGCATTTCTCACTGTGGGGACCGAGACAGACACCCCACGTACAACATTGTCTATTCATAACATCCTAACCTATTGAAAAGATGCATTGTTTCTGCGGGGGCTTCCTAACGGATTTGGTTAAATATTTCTTTCTTTGTCTCATCCTTTATATTTGGAGTTTTTCTCATGAGGGAGAAGGCAGGTTTTCCCTCGAGGGCAAGGGAGGAGAAGGCTCTAGATGAGAGTGATTTTCCACCATCAAAGAGTCTTTATCTTCCCTCCAGTACCTCGTGATGTGGTACGCAAAGCCTAACCCGTGAGCCAGGAAGTCTCCGGGGCAGTTTCTGAACTCAGAGAAGACATCTGCGTACTTCCGTCTCCTGAAAATATACAACGTTTGTGGGAGTTTTTAAGAGACACCCTGTTTTTCTGTTTTTCTAGGCCCAAGCTAGGTCTAAAGTGAATTAAGAACTCAAGTCTATCCTGGTTAATGCCAAAGTCCCCTACGAGGGAAAATGTGTGCTGATGTTTTTCCACAGGGGATCGTACGTTTTTCTTTCTCCCGGTAGCATGAACATGAGTCACAGGCATCTCTGTAATGGGTACCCAAAGCCAGTGCTTGAAGGTAGCTTAGCCCAGAGTTGCCTACTGAAGGAGAGCGTTCAATGAGAGAGATGAGGAAAACTTTATCTAAAACTGGATCGTGAAATGTGTTTACATTTTCTTCATGTATTTCTCAAGGCTTTTGACTTGGGGAGTGTCTGAGAGGATACCATCTCATTTGACCTCTGTGTAAAAGTCAAGAGACCTGCCCCACCTAGCTTGGTAACCCTTGGTAGATCCCTTAGTCAGCATTAATCTCCTTATCGGCAAAGTCAGTATAATATGACTCACGCTGATTACCTCAGAGGAGTGTGGTACAGACATAATAAGAAAACCTGAGGGAGATGGAAGACATACCTGCTCTCTTTCCGGGAGTGACCAGTTACTTTTGAACTTTTATAAACAGAAGTATTGTAACCTCAGCTCCCAATTCTTTTGGCCAAAGGATTTTAACACTTTATAGGTTCTAGATGTGATGTTTCTCCATAAGGTCAAGTGACCACCTGCATCTGAATCATCTGGGTTTCTTGTTAAAAAACAACCTCCCCCCACCCAGAAAATATGTTCTTGTAAGACACACACATACACACATATATAATCACAGTCCCTGGGTGTGTAGCCCCAACCTCTGAATTTTAATAAACCTCCAAGCTAGTCCTCCCTTTAATAGTTGAGAACCACTGCTCTAAAACACCTAAACGATGACTCCATCTGTGTTTGAGTCATGCAGGGTGTTATAGGAGAAGATGGTGTATTTGCAATATTCACAAGTGATTTGTGTCTCTTGGGCGGTGCTTATGTAAGACATGGCAGGCCTTGCCGGTGATGCAGTAAGGCTCCTAGCTTTCCAGATAGAGAATTATACCAAAAGACATTACATCGTTCACCATGGAAAAATGTCCCTCATCAACTCTGGGGCTTTTCCTTTAACGTTCTTTTCGTTGCTGGTGAAAGTGAGGGGGGAAAAAACCCTTTCACTTCAAAGCCTACAAACTGCTAACTCTGTCTGCAGTGCCAAGCCCCAGGCTCCGGCCAGTTTCTGGCATATGACAGGCTTTTTTTTTTTTTTTTTTTAATCCTAAATACAGGAATGGGTTTACATTTGAGCTTTATACCCACACTTGTATACACACTGTGCAAATCCCTATGGACTAACAGTCTACAGAGGGAAGGACCCCTGCTGCTTGGCCATCACTGGTCACAGCGATCCACTGCTCATCTTCCCTAACTGCCCGCCTTCTCCTGGACTTTGCAACCTAGCGAGCTCTGAGGCCCAGGTATTTTCCACACATAATGTAAAAAGAGGGGTTTTTGTTTCCGGGTGGCACGTGCTCAGGGAGGTAAGCGAGAGAGACGAGTAACAGCCCCATCGGCCACCATCTTTGCTCAGCTGGGGTTCTAGAACATCTCTGCCAGACAGAGACCCACCCAAGGGCCAGGAGGGGGACTTGTGCCCCA